CGAGCTACCCACGGCCCACCACACATGATAGCAGACCTTCGAAATTGTTTTGCGCCGCGAGACGTCTCTATCCGTCACCTTTGTTCAGAGAGGCACTTGTATTGATCCATGGTTATGACCAAGAAACGTTCCCACCACTTCAACATTGTTGCTGGTGCTGCTGCTTGTGGCTCCTCCACGCAACGCAACCGGTCTCGATGTAGACGTCTTGACCTGCACGGACTTCCACAAGGCCAACGCTGCCCTCGGTCAAGTGAAGACGAGGAGAGACAGCTCCGAATCGAATCGTTGTTGCCTGCTCATGAAGAGGAGTTACCGCTGCTGACCCTGGAAAGCGTTCGGTTCGATGTGGGTCGCGGTGCTGCGGTTGCCTTCACCGCCAATATGCGTATGATCAGATCGTACGGCCATATGCAGGGCGGCGTACAGACATCAGGTTTGACTCATCGAAGCTGCGAGAGAGATTTATGTTGCGAAAGATCTAGGATCTCAAGTTGAATATCTTTATGCGGTACTGTGGAGACCACCTTCATAAAGGTAGAAACTCCCCAACGTCTGTCGAGGACGATTCCCTCTTTTCACAATGAATGGCGTCAACGTGAGATGTCACAGTGGCTGCTTTTGGTTGCAAAAGACACGGGTTCTAAACCCGCTGGTCACCAAGTTTTCTTCCGGAAAACGGAAAAAGAAAAACGGTGGGTGGGCCAAGGGAGGACGCACTGGATATGATATTCAACGAATCCATGAGAATTTTTTCATTTGTGAGGGTGGGAGGAGGGAGAGATACCGTAGGAAAGTGAATTATATGTATGTAGAGCAATATCTTGCAGACGAATCCGATCCGTGGCATTTTTCTTTGTGAAGGGAGTCACTGGAAGCAGTGACAATCGGTTTTGTTTCGAGAAATAGTGCATGCTAAACTTTCTTACTGTATCACGCAGAACCAGGAAGGGAACGCACGTACGTACGTATGTTTCCTGTTGGCAACTGTTGTGGTGGATGGTGCATTTCAAACTTCTTGGAAGGAATCAACCCCCAAAGGCCCTGCTTAAGATATTCCCCTAAGTGCTTGCTTGACCCGCGTGCCCGCGCTGCTGGGCAAACAGCTACATGTCATGTACCATGTGCTGCTGTGTGCACGGTCTTAGGATGTGTCTGACGATGATAATGATGATGAAGGTTGCTCTTCACCCATTACCCTACTCGAGGCACCGATATCCGCGTTTCCTCAGAACGGCCACTAAGACGAGCTGCCAAGTAGGACTCACAGCTCAATTAATACTACCAGGACCTTAGCGAGATTGCCCTCGTGGTACCCGGCATGCCCATGGGAAACAGCGGCCGGTCATGCTCCGGTCGCACTTTCCGAACCTTCCCACGCCGGTGATACCTTGCCCTTTTCAATGAAGGAGGGCACAAATGGCGGCGCAATGGACGTGCACGATTCAGCCTCCGTCACCTTTCTGGGGGATCTGGGACTCGAAAACATTGAAATAACAGGCTCCGGGGCTGGCATGTGCATCTCCAACAACGTGAGCCATCCTGTCGGTGAAGATCTTGTAGAAAATACGAGCATCTTTCTCTCTCTCTCTATATATATATTACTTCCTCTCTCTTGCTTTCTCTCATGTCCTCTCTGTTTCTCGCCTCAAGCGCTCTACCCACCTCTCACTTTGTCAATAGTGTATGTGTAGGATAATTCAGCGCGATTCATCGGGCTGGCGTCCCACGTACTATACGTAGGACATGGCCCAGTTCCAAAGGACTGCGGCTACCCCTCACTTGCGGCAGATCATTGAATCTGAACGCCGAAGTTAGTTGTCGAATGACGCTTTTATCGTCTCGTGTGACAGAAAGGAATAATTGAGGCCAGAGCCAAAACTGAGTTATTGATATTTCTCTCGTCTTTGGGTTGCTGCCAGGTTGTGAGTGGGAGCTTGTACAACAGGCGTGGAGCGGACGGTCTGATGTTCTTCTCCGCGGCCACTTTTGCAAGAAACCACGGTATGCGGTCTTAATTCGGAGACGGGGGGAGTGAGTGTCGTCGTCTTTTGCAGCCTCGTTTTTCTGGCGATGTTGGAATTTGCTTTCATGCACGGTTTTTTATGCGTTTGAGCGCGGAAGACCCTCGAGGGGGGGTTGTCCGCTACATTCCTGGGGACGCGGCCCCGTCTATCCTACGGAAAATATCTAAGCCACCTCGTGTCGATGTGTAATTGGCAACATTCCGGACAACAGTGGTGGTGTTTCCGTTTCTTGTTCTTCGACAGGACGGGTCACCAGCAGCATGTTCGACTTGCTCAAAAGACGGTATCGTCGGCACCGCCAGCCGTTGTAGATATACGTTGAAAAATTTCGAAACACGTGCAAGACCTCGGAAGGTGCCTGTGGGCGTACCACATGAACGTTATACCTTGTTGGCCAAATGGTTGAGAACAATCGTCGTTGTTGACCATTACTAAGTTCTCGTGCCGCGGTATGGGAAAGGTGATGCACTGCATCGCCTCACTCGCTCGTACTATTTAGAGCTCGAAAGGCGTCCTTCATTCACGGCGGGGATGTCTACTGAAATAGGCGCATGGCGAGATGGTCGACCCGAAAACGATAGCTTCACAGTCAACATTTCTGCCAACCCCGTCACTTTCGCAAGCCAGTCCTTCACAGCCGCGGGAGAGCACACCTACAGCAAGAGATACGTCTTCTTTTGGGCGGCTGCCACGTGGGTCGACGGACCGACCGCCATTCACGTGGCCGGGGGTCTCGTGGAGTGAGTAAGCCTACCGCTTGTGCTAGACTTGGTGTTGCCGTCGTCGTTATCCTTGTCGCCGCCGATCTGTTCGTTGTTGTTGTCGTTGTTGACAGTGTTTTCGTGTGGTGCAGATCATCCTTGGAGGAGATTTTCTCTGTGCAAGATTGGCTCGATCAAAGGACGCGGACCTGCTGGATTTCCCCCAAAACGTCGGGACGCCGGGCCCGTGTAATCTTGATTTGATGTCTCACTATAAGTGTCGATGGATTGGTGTTACTGTTTTGGTGGGCTAGGATGGTGTTTACTTTCAGCCAGGAACACCGAGCCCTGTTATCGTACTTACAAGGATTGGTCACTTTGTGTGTGCCTCCCCGTCTCGTTCCCATTCCCCCTCCTGGCATGCTTTCCGTTGCTTGTCTGGGTCTGGGTCCCCGTCAACCTCTCGTTCGTCGTGTCGGAAGTAAACCGGACTATGAGTTTACAAGCAGTACATAGGCAGAGCCATCATTCGTAGTGTGGCGGTCACTCGACCCCTACACTTTTCGCGTTCGCCCTCCTACATATCGCCCGTGCCGTGTTGATCGTTTCAGGGAGGCGTGGGCAACAACTGCAACAAACAGCATCGCTTTCGAGCAGCTGGGTGTGAACTATACATGCGCCACCAGTGAGCAGGGGCTACCGTACCTTGTCTTCCAAAAACCTCAATACATACTGACGTGTTGAAAACACGTGGAACACTTAGATATACTCCTTTTGACTGATTCCAAAATTAATTCTAAAACGACTATATGCGCACCAACAAGTAGATTAGGCCCTTTTGACACGTGATGTGCATACGGTGTTCCCTGACGAGATTGTGCAAATGTGTTGGTGGTGGTGTGTACCCAACTGCGCAGAATGAGTGATTGATTGTCGATAT